AAATTATAATAACAAATAATAATAATAATTATAAATATTAAAAATTAGAATAATAAATAATAATAATAATGATAATTATTATAAATTATAAATTATATAAAAATAATAATTAATAATAATAATGATAATAATTTAAAAAAAAAAAAAAAAATATTCCGTCCGGCCGGCCGGACCGGACGGACCGGTTCCGACCGGCCGCCGGTTCCGGTCAGGCACGGTCCGTCCGGCCGTGCTTTCCGGACGGTATTTGCTCCGTCCGGCCACCGGTTCCGGACGGGCTTTAAGCCGTCCGGCCGCCGGTTCCGGACGGGCTTTAAACTGTCCGGAACCGACGTCCGGACACGAATTTTTTCGTACCTCGGAATTTGACGACATTTCACCGTACACTTCTCTGAGATGTTTACGAAAAATGAGAGGGGCAAAATTGTCCAAGGGGGGCGGTGACTAGTAATTTGGGGGGCGGTGAATAGTAATGCCCTAAATAAAAATAGACTGGGTCATGTTGATGAGACAACCAGAAAAAGAGGCTCGATCTTCCCTTAAGTCTATTTTAGACTCAAGTAGAGACCTAATCTCTTTACATTGAATTGGATTTTATTAATTTTATATAGTTTTATCCATGTCATCTGAGATTTGAGTTTATTTACTTGCCACATAAACAAGAGTAGATCCAATGCATTGAATATGTTCTTATCTCCAACACAACCCAACCCAATTTAAAATTAAAAATTATTTTTATCTCCTCTGCGACTCCACATACACAACTCAATTTTACAAAAAAAATTATCTTTATACTCAATCCAATTCAACCTAAATATTTAATTTATTTTAGTTTATCTAAAAAATACAATTGTGTTCCAAAAGATATCAATTGTGGTCTCCATTTGTAGAGAATAAAAAATATGAATTATAGTATTTGTAGTATTTATTTTTTAATTTTTTAAACAAAAAATTATTTTGGCTAATAAAAAAGAGACAAGTATCCCATTTTACAACACAACCGGTTGTAACCTTGTGTCACAATGTGACTTCGGTTGGGCGACCATGACCTTTCCTTTTTTTTTTTTCTTTTTTTTTATTGTTTTAAATAGGTGACCCACTCAATGGAGTCACCGATAAAAGTAGCCTAAACGTTTGTAAGGGAAGTATAGTGTTATTAGGCACATGATTAGATAATTTTATATTTTTTATTAAACACATACTGCAAGTTTGTAAGGGAAGTATAGTGTTATTAGGCACATGATTAGATAATTTTATATTTTTTTATTAAACACATACTGCATATTTGAATACTAGTACTATCCAGTGCGATGCACAGATATTAAATGAGTTATTTTCACAGACTCTGTCCGTTTAAGTCTAAAAAACAATAGGGTTATTATCTTCTGTCCGTTTAAGTCTAAAAACAATAGGGTTATCATCCATTTTCGACATATTTTAATCAGTGCTAAGTCTCAAAGTCAACAGAGTTATAATCTATTTTCCACCTCTTTTAATCAGCGTTGTTTTTTAGCCAGAACATTAAATATGAGAATATTAGGGCTAACTTATAAATAATTAATATATTATTTCACAAACACAATTATACTAATGAATTTAATTTTAGTACATATATTTATTTGTTGATATAAGAGAAAATAACAGTTTTACTTATTATTGTTCACCATATAATACTTAATTATTATTTTATTATAAACTTTGTTGTCATATAATGTTATTATTATTTATAAAAGTTATAGAAATTGTACGTATTTTTTTTATTTTATGTAATGAAAAATATTTAATTCACGTTAGTATTTTTATTTATGTAATTAACTTAAAATATGTAAATAAATTTAAAATTAAATAGTGTATAAATATTTTACAAAATATACACACATGTTTTTCTAGAATTTAATTTTGTATACTAATTAAATAGTTTTGTTTTAGCAAATGTCAAAAACTCAATCCCTTCTATAATCAAAATTTCTAATTTGCATTATAAGGATTTATAGTTTATTTAGCATACTTTGCAATGAAAATATATTTTAAAGAATTTTCCTAAAGAAAGAAATAAAAAAAAAAAAACAATGATAAAATAAGTCATGGTTGCCAATAATATACAAATAAATTCTAGAACAGTTAATGTATTTCAATTTTAATTTTTGATTATTAGTAAAACTATTTAATGTATCTGGTCATTATCTCTTCAATGGTAAATTATATTAATTTGAATAACAATTTATTGTTATATATAACGAAATAAAGCTTAAGAAAAAAATTATATTGGCAAAGATTAATTCACCAACTTGATTTTGCTTAATTAATTGGAAGAAAAATTTTACCTAATCTGTTACGATTTTCTATAAATATTTTTAGATAAAAAGTGAATATTTGTGAAAAAAATTAATATTATGGTTAAAATTAAAAATATATTGCAATATTTATCTTGACCAATATATTATCAACATGAATCACCAAAAATCAATTTTGTAATTTATTAAAATGGATATTAATAAAATTATTGCAGATATTAATAAAATTATTTATGAAAACAATATTTTATATCATATATGATTTGATCTTATTTGAAACCGTGTATATGGAAGCAATTAATGCATATATTTAAAAATTTTCAAAATCAAGGTATGCATCCAATGCTTCTAAAATTTTTTACTATTATTTTTAGTAAATGGTTATTCTTATTATATATAGATATATAGATATAGATTACAAATCCCATTTAGGCAAGATAGATGTATCCAAAAAAATATTTGTGTAATTGCTTCCTTTAAATGTTTTGATTTAATTTTTTTCTAATAATTTTCAAAACAAATTTAGGCAAGATATTTTGATTTTTTTTTATAAAAAAATTACTTATTTTAGTAATTTTGAAATTTTAGACGGGATTTTAGTTTCTATTTCAAATAAATGCCAAACCTTTTTATATAGATATAGATATAGATTATGTTGCAAAAATAATTTAAATAAAAGTAGAATGGTTTAACTATGCATTTTCTTAAAAAAATGTAAGACGAATCGAACTATTTAATCGTTATATACATTTTACATTAAACTTGTATTTTTTGTAAACATATTATTTAATCGAACTACGATGCATATTAGTACTTCACACTTGCTTTTTTTACTGTAGGAAAGAAAAACTAAGTATTAGTAATTGATTTAAGAAAAATTAAGTGATGAAGGGAAGCGTACGAGTAGGACGATATTAATGAGATCGCAATCTCAAGAACACCAAAATACTATATCAATTCATCTTTTATTCATAATCAACCAAGTAAAATAAAATAGATGGAATCCTTTATATAAGGCTCCTAACCCTAGATATTAACGCCGACTATGGGAGCGCATCAGCTTCGAGGGCGAAGCCTTCCGAACCGGGGGAGAATGGTGTAGAATAGTATTATTATTATTATTACGATTAATTATTTTTATTTATTTGGCTTGGTGGACAAGTTAATATCTAGGGTTATGAGCCTTATATAAAGGAATCCATCTAGTTTATTTTCATTGGTTGATTATTGAATAAAAATAAGATTGTGAGTTTTACCAAGAGGGTATCTCGTTTATTCTTCTTATTCGTATGCTTTCCCTACATCACTAAGTATTAGTAATTGATATCTATATTCTAATAATCCTTAAATTGTTTGAGGGAAAAAATTATCTTTTTTTGAACATATTAGGATTTTCTAAGAAAGAAAAATTAAATATTAGTAATTGATATCTATATTTCTAAAATCTGTTTATGTGTAAGGACAAATAAATCGGTGCCTCATGATTGATGCTTTATCCGGCACACAAACATTTTAAAGGAGTAATAATCTTTTATAAAGTATCCAGAGGTTAGTCTTTATAATTTACCCCAATACAAGTATACGTTATTATTTTGTGTATTATTAATTAAATATTTTTATTTTATCAGTCATAGTTTCAAGTATAACTTTTATAATATATTTAAATTTGATTAGTAGTATAAATACATCATAAAAAGTTACAATTCTGGACAAAAGATGGGAAAAAGATGTTTGAGACTTTCCCCGTTAGATTTTTCATCCTATGCCCTATCTTGATTTTTGTTTGAAAATAATAGCCTCACTGGATATTCCCACATATTCAGTAATCTTGATTTTTTGTTTGAAAATAATAGCCTCAGTGGATTTTCCCACATATACATATCTTTCAAGATGGTTGACGCATAAGTATATATTTTTCAAGATGGTTGAGAGTACAAACATTAAGAATCTCTTATATCTCAAATTAATAATAGTATTACTTTAATAATCTCTCTGATAATATATCAATACTAAATACATAATAATATATCAATATTAATTATTACATTAATAATCTCTCATATCTCTCATATAGTAAACATTAATCTCTCTAATAATTTATCAATATTAAATAAATAATAATATATCAATGATTCAATATTACATTAATAATCTCTCATATCTCTTATATACAGTATCCAATATTACCAATATATCATAAGTTAGCAATGCTTTACAAATAGTAATAATATATCAATGATTCAATATTACATTAATAATCTCTCATCTCTCTCATATACAGTAATCCAATATTACCAATATATCATAAGTTAGCCATGCTTTACAAATATTAATAATCTCTCATACCGTAAACATCAATAATCTCTCATATCATAATGTATATTGTTCGTTGAAATGTTCTTAGTCACATATATTGAATAGAAGCCTATTTCGTTAAAACTTTCGTAGTACAAAAGTGTGTAAATGCCTATTTCATTAAATATTTCGTAGTTGTTGATACTCAAAATTTGTAACTTTGGCGACCAGAATCAACTTGATTGACACTCAAAACTTTGCCGACCAGAATCAAGCCCATTGACCACGATGCAACCTCCACAGACGAGGTCCTCAAAGTTAAAGACATCGACCTCATTGTGAGATATGACGTAACCACGTAAACATTTTGTTAGAAGCAAGACCCCTCCTCATTGACAATCCCAATCCAACCAAGCTCAATCCTGAGTTCAAGAGCCTCATCGACTTCCAACCAAGCTCAATCCTGAGTTCAAGAGCCTCATCGACTGGCCTCTTACCAGCTTGGCAAGGAACGAAGTAACTAACATAATATGTTTTAAATCCTGAGTTCAAGAGCCTCATTGACTGGCCTCTTACCAGCTTGGCAAGGAACGAAGTAACTAACATAATATGTTTTAAAGACTTCTCCTTATACAAATAGAAGGGTTTGGAGGCTTCAAAGGACATCCGTTTTCATACCACATTAGTGTCATACTACATGAATTACTACCTTAGTTTCTACATTACGAAGCTTTCAGCTATAGCTCTCTAGATTCCCGATTTCTTTTCCGATTTCAGCTATAGCTCTCTAGATTCTAATTTCTTTTCCAATTTCCCCATGCATTTGACAGGCTCTTGTACAAAAAGAGGCCCGAGAGGCGCAATTCATAATAAAATCTTCGGTACAGGCATACTATTTTTCATCGTTTATACAGACCATATTATTTTTCATAGTTTATACGGGCCACGTATTTTTCCATAGTTTTCCAGCATAAATTCATCATAGACAACTTAATGTGGTGGTATGTTGGTGCAACCACACATCCAGTTACACAACAGTTACAGATAGTGCACAAATAGACGTCAGTAGTTACAAATAGTGAATAGAAATACATGCTATCTATGGTTCGTTACAAACATTTTGAGAATTAAACGTATATAAATGTTTACATATCAGATCATAAAAGCTCTAGCTCTGTATAATCTCGCTCTTTCTTTCTTTAAAAAAAAAAGAAAAAATCATTTCATTTTTCTTTATCGGCTATTTGCATTAATATTTTACTAGTATGTTCTAGGCACTAGCTGTTTAGACTGTCCAAGCGTTGGGCAGTCACAGACAACATTACACTAATGTTGTTGGCGGCAAAGATGAAAATTATCCAAATACCCATCGAATATCAATTAGAAAGGAATAAATGACTACCTAATGATTAGACTACATTGTGGAGATACATCTATATATTCACTAAATGAAAGATATGTAGCAGAACTCAATTTCAATTTTCAGAAGAATATGAACTCAATGGAAACTCTTTGCAATTGGCTCTAACCTACAATCATCATATTCATCTGATTTTCCATAAATATTTCCTAACGCACAAGAAAAGATGATAAAATTAAAATAAGAGGACAAAAAGCTGATCATACTCGATCTGCAGTTTGATCAGCAGTAATTTGACCAAAAATGTCGGGACATGATTCCCAGTTGCCCTGTTCTCTAGCTTCCCAATATCCACCTATGTAATGGTATGTATTTGAACCTTCGTCTTTTGCAAACCATCTCGGTTTCCATCCGCTCTCTTGCATCGACCTCGCCTAGTTTCAGTTGAACTAGAGTTAGCAATCACATAAATTGATAAAATAGTCCAGGGAAAATTGCATTTTTAGTCCTACTGGTTTAATGTCATAGCAATATTAGTTCTAAGGTTCCAAATTCACCGATTTTTTATTAGCAATTTAAGTCCTGTAATTTAAAGTTTAGTTGCAATTTCATTCATGTAAATTAGAATTTTATTGCAATTTCATTTTGGAACTTTATGATTAAAATTGCTATGGTGTTAAACCAACATGACAAAATAAGCATTTTTGCCCATCACAACACTAAAAGAACAATTTTTATTTTNTTAATATGAGTGTGAGTGGACATTCAAGTTCATGAGGCATATCTCTAATAAGCATACTCGACGGGATAATGCTTAAACTTCATGTTTATGCGTGTGTAATAATTTCAAGTTCTGCAGTAATAACAGAATTAAATTAGATCAAAACTAATTGTATACCTGCCGCTGCCTCTGTTCTAGGCGCAACTTTTCGGCATTTGCTTTCTCATACTCCCCATTTTCCAAGCATCTTTGATCAGGTCTAAGCCTTGAATCAGTTGGGGGCAGCTTCTCCTGCACAAGGCATATATTATGTTTAGTTTCGTTTTATATGGTATGACGACTCTACAATTGAAGTCGAGTGTAGTTTTCCTCCAATCTGCAGATAATATGGCAAGTACAAAGAAGAACATACAGTTATCCTTCAAAGTTAAAATTCTGATGAATACCCCTTTTTGATATATGTTCCCCTTTAAAGTTTTTCACCACTTGATGGGTTAGTTGTAGGCTTGTAGCACAAGTAGTACTTATAACGCTTTATAAGGGTGTTTGAGTGGTTGATACAGGATTCGGTCCTTGTACCCCACAGTTATTTAGAAACTTGTTAATAAAGAAAAAAAAAAAAAGGTAATTTACATGGGCACCTCAAAATCCAGCCTTAAGTGTCACTTAGGCCTGTAAACGAGCCAAGCCGAGCTCGAGCTTGATCCCTTAACGAGCCAAGCTGAGGTTGGCTCATTAAATAAACGAGCCTGAAATCGAGCTCAAGCTAGGCTCGTTTATCACTGATAACGAGCCGAACTATAGAAAATTATATAAAAAATCTCTTTTCGAGATTAACGAGCCGAACTATAAAAAATCTCGAGCCTTAACGAGCTCGACTCGTTAACCAAACAAGCTTTAAATGAGCTCGAGCCTTAACAAGCTGAGCCGAACCAGGCTCGTTTAATTTAACAGCACTGCACTTCACAAAAAAGAGCAGTAATACAACTAAATCTTCACCTTCAGTCCAGGAGTAAACTCATTCATTGTGATGGCAAACCGAGTTAAGTTGTAACGTGTCGGGAACTTAGGAGGGTGGCTACGTTTCCAGAGCAAGTGAGCTTCCGACATGGACTGTTGCCCTTTCCCTTTGGAAGAGTAATCTCCATTTACGTAATGCATGCTCTCATCCCATTTTCCGAACAAAGTTGCCACCGTTTTTCCACTCTTGTCCTGGACAACTCCATGCACCTGCAATTCCAATAGCGTGTTATGGCAAGAAAGTAAATACTCCAAACGCATAATTGCGCCCAAATATTATTAAAAAAAAAAAAAAATCATGACTCAAGGATAAAAAGAAGTAAATTGTGTTGAACTGTTTGAAAGAAATTTATAAAGGAATTTTGTCCAGGGGTCAGAATCAGTGGAAGTGGCAGTTATACTCGAGTATATGTGGTCAACAGAAAGAAATATTAAAGTATGTCGTTCGGTGCCAGTACATCAGTTAAAGGTTTCTTTCGTAAAATGTGATGTATTCAAACTGATATTAGAAATTACGCCAAATGAATCAACTGCTCTCTTAATTTGGTTAGAAATAAATGTGTAGCACCCAATTTTATAGTTGAATTCTTGATGGATGCACTTCCAAAATATTAAATGTCACAACTAATACAGTGAAATTCTATGTGTAGATGCTTGCTTGCTCACGAAGCATGTGAAATACTTGGGATTTTAACAAGACACAAAGTAAACCTAAGATAAACTAAACCGATTCTAAGAACCGAGTATATATAACTTCAGTTACATGAACCGATTCTAAGAACCGAGTATATATAAATTCAGAAATCGGAACCCTTTCAGCATTATTAACACAAGCAGATTAACAAATTATGCCGTGCTTCAGAAATACACCAACAATTGAAATTTAAATGATTTATAACTAGACATTCACATTTTTCTTGTTTCAATTATTTGGTTCAGTAAGATGCATTCATGCCCGCCAGATATAATGCAAGTTAACTTTTATACCCACAAAAAGAAACATCAAACATTGTTTGCCGCAGAACACATGAATTCATCAACCTTATATAAGTATACATAGATAATGCAGAACAAGAATATTACTTGATGAGGATTCCTGTCTATGATAGACTGCTCCTTGAATTTCAGTTTGCACGAGTAGTCACGGTTTCCTTGTATCCGCATTGTACCATAATGGTCGCAATAAAGTTTACCCAGAATTAGATTGTAAATAGATGTTGTCACCTGTCATAAAGAGGTATAAGTTTCTCCACCAAATCAAACAGAAGAAATTTTCCCAGTATTTGCTGTAAAATACCTTGCTCCATTGGAAGATTTCCCCATCATCAAATTCAAGAGTTAATACACCAACTGGGTCGAGCTGAATAGATCGTCCCCAAAATTTGCTTTTGAGATTGCTGTCACCATAAAACCTCCAGCCTCTACCCTCACAATGACATGCTACAATCATAGGGTGATGACTAACCTGATACGAAGAAAACCAACATTGGCCACTTGGTATATTCATTGAAAATAATATTCCTTTCATCCAGTTTTTTTTCTATTCCCCTTTGTTAGTTCGCAGTGTGAGTACTCTTTTTCTTCTTAATCTACAATTATTCAATGAGCCAATTTGACAAGTTTCAAGGTAAGTTAACAGTGGAATTAGTGACAATACGACACGATGGGAACATGGAGTATTTTTTAAATTTTACGATAGATAATGTTTGTCAAATAAATATCAAACCAAGTCATCTGGGTGGCATTTAACAGTGAGTACATCAGCCACAGCAGTTCATCTAAAAGACAAGAATAGCGTAAATTGTTAACTGAAATGGAAATAAATAAACCAAAAAAGGGAAGTTTCTTTGTTTTTTTTTTTTTCACTGTTCCGATTTTTTTCTTTTCATATCCATGTCATAATTTATTTGTATATTCAGTATAAGATTGTAATAAGTCAAAGATCTCCTTTTTGTACTAACGCACTGATATAGTAACCAAAATGTGAAACATGATAAGAGAAACTCAAAGAGTTTGCTACAGGAAATAAACTAACACCTTCTCTGAGAAAAATCGGACGCCTTTATCTGGGTAATCAGCTTCATAGGTCTCCCCTAACAATGGATTGAAAGGTTTGCATATTCTTCCATCTGTTGAAGCATATCCAGATGCCACAAATGCAGCTACATTTAGCATCCGCATAAGGTTGTTACCCTGGAAAGAGTTTATTAGGTCAAATCAGCTGCTAAATGGTCATGCATTCAACGCATCATGTTAAAAAGCTGGATATTGTTGCAGGTTATAATTCACAAGTAAATTATCACTCGTTCATCAGTTGTCATATTCCAGAAGACTGATGGACCTTGAAAAGAGAAGCAATCCTGTGGAACCCATATGAAAATAAGCAGATAAATTCAACAAAAATAGGTCCTGAAGACCAACAGATTAGAGCAAAACGCAAGCCAGAACAATTTCAGTTATGGGAAGCCAAACAATTATTTGACATGTGGTGTCGAAACTTGAAGGCGAACAAAAAGAATGGATTGCTTTCTGCTCTGTGCCTTCAAATGAATTTTTATCGATTAAAATCCTGAGATTTCAGCTAAATATTTTTGCAGTTGATTAGATATTTATTTTCTCTTTTCTTGTTGTGGGGGGATTGAACAATAAGGAGGCTGCCGACATCCACAGATGAACATTGTGACAATGTAAATATAAACTTATTTTCGTGATTTGGTGAACCAAATTGAATGCCCAGATTCCCAAATTAAACGAATCACCATTTAAAGAAAACATGAATTCATCGAAACTTCATCATTGTCAATGCAAGTGCCGCCAAAAACTGAACAAGCATATTTAACATGAGCATACCTTCTTTCCCCATTCATAGGCCCGATCAATCAGATATGAATATTCCACATCTTCAAAACATTTTTGCAGTGAAGAGAGCGGTTCATTGAAGTAAACCGGGAGACATACTTTGGAAAGATCCTTCCCAATATTGTCTTTAATCATCGACCATAAACTCACTCCTTTCTCTTTCTCAACAGGATCAGGTAATTTTTTGCGACGCTTAATGCGAGGAAAGTTCATTCCAACAGATCTAATGGCAGGATCAATATCTTCCTCATCTTCAAAAGAACAATGCTCATCATCATCAGATGATAGTGATAACATCCTAAAGTCGGACCCGCTACTTCTAAAGGAACTAGAAGAAAGAAAATCTCTGGTGTCAAAAAAGGCATTGTCTTCTTCATCTGTATCCTCCTCTGCCCCATCTACTCTTTCATTCTCATCTTCTGACTCAGTGGTGCTTTCTGGTAGAAATAGACAGAAGGATAATGAAATGTCCTAAATATGTTTTAACAACTAACATGCATATGCACAACCTAACAAATGTGAAAGGAATAATTTTTCTTTAACTCATTTATGTCTTAACATATTATGAAGACAAAAAAAACCAACCTTTTTTTTTCTTTATATTTTTTATTGTTTCGTTTTTTTGTTTTTGATAGGTGGGGTTAGAAAGAAATATCAATATGAAGCTTTTATGCAATTCATCTAAGAGAAACATAAGTAGAACAAGCTGAGATGTGTACCACTAGACTTATCTTGCCTTGTGTTAGTAGATGCCGGTGCCCCAACATCTTTAGACTGTCTCTGGCTCTCGTCAACAACCGTATTCTCCAAGTCAACTTTTTCTGTCTACACAAAATACCCACCTTCTTTTAGAAGAAAAAAATAAGTACAGTCAAGGCCAAATAACAGAACTAAAGTACTTTAAGCTTTAAGGACCATTGTTAAGAAAAGCCAGTCCTATTCATCAGTGTCAAGGCACACTTCTGAAATTTTAAATCCATATTGATCATAATATCAAATAATTTGCTAATAGATAAACTAATACCGTACTTTTCAAATTCATAAAAAATTTATGCTATCACATTATGATACATAATGGAGGAGCAAAACGAAACGATATTCAAGTAAACGCAACAATCTAAGAAATGAGGATAAAACTACAACAGAAATGAATTAGGTGTTCCCGTTCTCCACCACAAAGCGTGAGAGATCTAATATATCCTAGGTTGCATTTGTATCGCAGAGTTTGAATTTGGAAAGGTGATTTGAACAAAATTTTAAATATCTCCATCCAATATGAGGATTTTAGATCCTCGAAACGACTAGGAAAATAGCCAACAAGATGAAATTCATTGCATAGAGAGGTTGTCCAAACGACCTCAATGGATTTGTTGTTACTTAGTAGAGATTTGTAGAATCCTAAAATCATATCCATCATCAAAATGGACTGCTAATAAAATTTATGCACACCAACGGGAAAGTCAAAATCCATAGAATTGGATTTGTTGTCCCTGCAGACCAGATGCATAAACAATTGGTATATGTGATGTAAGGAGCAATTTTCATGTAGTTATCATTTCCTAATAATTCGATAATTATCAAACTCCAGTATTCACTGAATCAGCTAAAACATTTCAATTCCACAAAGAAAGCCAAACAGGAGTTATGGATTTTGTTTGAGACAACGAATTTTCATTAGTAACAGAATATATGGTCTCAAGGCTATGTAGTAATACATGAAAGAGGATCATATACATACAATCAAGGACAAAGATCTTCACATATTGAAAACGAAGTACAGTTATAAATATAAATACAGTTATATAGGCAATGCAAACATAGGAAAACACCAAAAAACAACTATTTTCCTTGCAACACCAACAAGCTCTTTTTTATGTTAACTTCAGAAAACAACACTGTCGAAATATAGACTAGTAAAGATAATGACAAAACCAATAAACTAGACCCTCAATATCAATACTTTTCATCTCCACTAAAAGTTAAAGAATGAGTTCCAGATTATTTTCCTTCAACATTTGTTGGCAGAAAATTTCTTTCACATTCATAGATGATTAGCAATAAAGTCTACTTGTTTGGAGACAGAAGAGAAATGTCTACTCAAAACATACCCTAATCCTATCTAAAAATGAACAATTACACGCAAAACAAAAGTATAACATAAAGCTTCCTTTCCGGTCTGGCCTAACCTTGGGTAATAGTTACAAGCATGGATCACCTTGATTAAATAATGTCAGACGCGCATATAATTGGATATACCAGTAAAATAGACCAGTTACAATGCCCAAAAAAAAACCCGTTACTGAGTATCTACTCCAGGGGCCAGGTCTATAAGAAACTTAAGTCTGTACCACTATATTCAGATAGTGGTGGGGTACCTTGCTCATAAGGCAAGCTATAAACCACATCTAATGCACATCTTACATTAGTTACACCATCATGCCAACACAAAGTAAGTGAAGTTAATAAAGTGGGAAAAATTATATCTTCACATATATTCTTATTCATAAACTTCTGCAGGAAAAACCACATAACTCGAAACATTGCCGCAGAATACAATAGCAAACAGACAAAGAAGCCTAACAGATGCCTGAAAGGACAAAATCCCCCAATCCCACCACCTCACCACACAACTAAAATGATAACAGTTACTTCATGCAATATCTTTTACAGCCTTGTAAATGATTCAAAAAAATATTGCATCCTTAAAGAATAATGAGTCCATATACTAATGAATTATTCAGACACAGTTTCAGTTCAAGAGACTTATACAACAGAATATTTTGGAAAAGGACAGAGAAAAAGCAGGAACAAGAAAAGGAAAAAGAAAATATTAGCTGTTTACAGCCAGTCTAGAAAGCACAGAATATGTACAAACACTTCAAGACCGAGCTACCCAGCTGCAGAAATCTAAGGAGATCCAAAAGCACTTTAGCGCGCATATTTCTTTGCCGAAACTGAAGAAGACCTCTGAATTGAACTTGCAAGGGATTTTCTATTAATCTTAACGTGTACCTCAAGCTGACGCAGTGTGTCCACGAGGATCCAATGCTTCTGCTGCAAGATCATCAGCTGATTCTGCAATGAAGCAAATTCATTCCTCATGATCTGCTCGCTTTGCTGAATGGCGGCCTCACTCAAGCCTTCTTCCAACAGCCTCTGCCTCAGCTTCTCGGTTGAGACCGCCAAGTTGTCCACGGGCGCCAATAGCTCACTGTTGGACATCCTTGGGAACATTTCCTTCACTGTCTGCAAAGCTTCCATCCAAGTTATTCTGGCCTCACGGCTCTCGGTCCTCAGATGGAGCTTCTTTGTCCCCGTAAAAATGGAGAATCTCTTATCATCTGATTGGCTCTCCCGAATAGATGAGACCTGTATGGAAACTAAACAGTTGAAAAGACCAGGCAGTTGCATTTTCTTAAAAACAAAAAATCATTAGTAAAACATGCAAATAGAAGAAGCAAGAAGACAGCAGTAGGCACAAGCCCGGAGAAATCTGTGTCACAAGTTTGATATAGTTTTATAAAACATTCTTCACCACCGAAACAAAGTCAAGTTTATTGTTACCTGATTGAGCACCAGAAAACAATAAATCTGCTGATAATTGCAAAGAAATCAAGCCAATCAAATTGGATGCTAAAGATCCCCAACAATACTCAGACAAATGTAAATGCAAGCCATTTTCATGGAAATTTCAAAATCATATTGATAAACCGCGATCCACCAAACAAGCAACAAATATCCCATCCAAAACACTAAGCATTTTCCGGTAAGCAATACAATTTAGAACAAAACCTTTAAATGAACTTCGCCAACGGGCTTCCGGCTTTTCGGCGACGAGCTACTGCTTCTGTTCCGATGGTGATTCTGATTCTGATTTTGATGGTGGTGGTGGTGATTAGCAAGAGGCCGCTTAATCCGCCTCATCGACTCATCCCCAATCACTCTTGACCCTCTCTCCGTCTCCTGCTCAAGGACAATCCTGTCCGGCCCGTGGATCTTGTAGTAGCTCAGCACCCCGTCCTGAAGCACGAACCACCGCGGCCGCCAGCCCCTCCCGTAGTTCACCCACTTGTACAAAATCCCCGAGATCCCATCCCCAACTATGTCGTTGATCTTCAGCTCCCGGTTAACCTGATTCTGGCCGTGGCCGTGATCTCCCCCGGCATCGCGCACCGAAGAGGCTCTGGATAGAGCCGCCGAGTTGTGCCCGTTAGTCGCCGGATCTGACGGCGGATACGGCGCCGGAGGCGGCATGTCGTAGCTGTCGATCGTCACCGTTGACCCGCAGCAGAAAGGATGCATCGCGAGATCAGCATAACTCAGGGCTCAACTGCCAAATTCCTTTGCTCCCATATCGGAAAGTTTCGCCGGATTGTTTTCTTTTTTTTCACAAATAGAAATTTTTCAAAAGAAAAGGAAAAAATTGTTTGACAGCTTGACTAAATATGGGTAGTGTAGATATGGAGATGGATAGATACAACATATGTGTGTATGTGCGTGATCGATACGAGGTTGGTATTGAATTGGGGGAGAGAAGTTTCAGGGGGTACACGGCTGAGGAGATTTTTCCGGCGAGGTTACGGTTTGCAGGTTTTCTTAATTAACGTCGTGAAGAGGAGTTGTTGAATTTATGGTGGTCAGGTGTTTTGAAATTTTGATTCATTTCTTCTTATTTTTTAAATTTCAATAGCATTTTTTTTTCACTATTATCTACTAGTTTAATATCCGTGATAGTTACAATTTTTTATACTTAAATTATTAAATAAATGATAATAACAATAATAATATTTTTTATTCTAATTCATATGCAATAAATTTGTAGATAATTTTTTTAGTTAATATACATTATTATTGTTATTTTAATCAATACTGATAGATAAATAATTTTATACTAAAAGAAAATAAAATTATTTGAGTATTTTATAAGTACATTATACATATCAAATTAAATATCGTCAAAATATAATTAGTTTGATAAATTATATGTGAAAAAATGATAACAAATATAAAAATAATATTTTTATTAGTCAAATATGTTGTAATTTAGACAAAGCACCAAAAATGACACACAATATGAATCAGTTAATCGCCATAATCCTCCTTCCCCTTTATATATAATTTTCATATCTCGCTGAGCCTAAGTGGCAGCTTCACACGGTTCGTAATTTTAAATGACAAAATATTATATTTTGTAATATGGGTTGGATAAAAATTACTAATTTTTTATGCCAAATAATTTATATTCGAATTACCATATATATACACATATTTAATATATTTAAATCATTCCATACGAATCTCTATCTGTGCATATCATCGTACTTTCCAAATTTTGTACTTTGTTCATATTATTCCTTATGTGTTTTAAATAAAATTAACGAGGTATATAAATTAGTTTTCAGAATTTGTTAATTCACTTATTTATTTATTATAAAGTGTTTTATATTGTTTTTTATTTTATTTTTTCCAACCTCAACAAAACATATAATTTTTTTTATTTTTTATTATACATTTAATTATTTTATCAACTACCCGTGTAGTACATGCTATTTTACTAATTCGATATAATATGAGTTGAGAATGCGAGGTCATTAAACTCGTTACTTATTACTCATAATAGGGTGATAAAAAATATTAGAATACAAATATTAAAGAAAAATATTGTTATTTAGTTTAAGAGCATCTATAATGTTTTGTATTTATCTAATTTACATATTATGTAGAAATTAGACCGGTTATAAAAAAGGATGCTTTGTAACTCGAATAATCATTGTCTGTGAGTTGTGACAGTGGATCCAAGTATTCCAAGTATCCCATCAACTGTATGTCGGTAGGAAAATGAGACTTTGTCTACCCTTATAGTTAGTTTAGATAAACAGGGATACGATCAATTTATTTTTTAACAAATTTTTTTATTTATACTTAATTTTATCCGTGTCATTTAATAAACTTATAGCCATTTATATACTACATAAGCAAATTTAAACTTACAACATTGTAGATGCTCGAGATCATGGATCACAAATAATTAAATTAATGAATTTTCAATGTTTTGTCATTTGTATACTACAATAACTGCATCTCATCTGACTGGATTATATATTTAAGCTCTTATCTCGAATTGACTTTTTCCCGCCCTTGATATTGCTCGTAGCTAGAGCTTTTCACAATAAAACTAAAATAGTTTTATTCACAGTATATGTAACTTTCAGAGAATCATGTTTTTGGTATAAAAAATATATTTTTTTATTCAAAAAATATAACTTATCGACCTAACTAACTCTTAGGCGCGAGTAGATCAACATTTTATTTTATTTTATTATTTATTTATTTAATTATTTAATTTTGTTTGCATTACAAGGATCTTTAGTATAAGAGAGAAGTTCTAACTGAAAACCATAGATGAGAAGTTCAGACAAATTGCAAAAGCTGCTAAAGAATAACTTCTGCCTGTGGTTATAAACCTACCAACTATTATTAGCAATGCCGTGTGGAATAAATAGTAGTAGGTTAGTGTTAGGATTTAGGAATATATACCATAAATAAAGTCCTGACTAATTAATGTTGGAGTAATATATATTTATTCCCCTTTCCAGCTTGAATTAATTAAAGATAGATGAAAATAAAAAATGGTTGGTAAATAAATGCCAATTTATGAATCTGGTTGATTTATTAGAATTGCAAATTAAGTTGGCATGAAGTCCTCTTGATCTGTCCACGTGCTTCTAGAAATGGAAATGTCATTGTTTTTTACAGTTTTGCATATTCTTAGTTTAAAATAGTCGGTGTTACATGATGATGTTATATTTATACGTGTTTTTATTTAAAAAAAATAAAAAAATGAAGCTTCTATGTCGGGCTATAAACGAGATGAGACGAGTCAAGTTAAACTTGAACCTAATACTCGAACCCTTATTGAGTCGAGTCGATAAATAAGTTTGAATTTGCTCGTTAACGGAGTTCACTCCTTAACGAATAGTGATATATTAATTTAACAAAAGTTTACAAAATTGCATAAAAACTCTAGTTATCAAGTCTAGCTACCATTAAACAACAATAAAATGCTAATTTCACAATCAAGCTATCCTTATTATAATTTCATGGTATACTTTACAATTTTAAATAATTTGCATATACATACTGTGATTGGACATGGCTAAGGAAAAATATGAAAAGAATATTATTATTATTTATCATATGGAACAGTGTTTTTGGGGCAAATGAGACATAACTAGTTTTTTTTCAGGGAATATTTCCAGGTGTAGTTAAGTTCTCCACAAAATTAAAGGAATATCATGATTTTCTTCCTCGAATTCGTAAAAGCTAAACTAAATCACGAAATAAATTTACAAGGGTCATTAAACTTGACAATTATGCGATTTTCGTTTTTTATTTTTTTTCACTTATTAGTAGGAAAAAAATAATAATTTTTTCTTGACTTATGGGTAGGAAAAAAATGTAAATGAGTTATTGGTCCACCAAAATGTGCCACCCATGTGAAAAAAATGAATGAACAAAGATTTTGACCAATTGTTGGCTATACATATCTCTAATAGATCCACTTTTTATGGATTTGAAAGGTTTTAAATTACAACAAAAATTATATGTAGCCATCAGATGATTTTGTTATGTAGTCATCCATCACTTAATGTGGTGACACCTGTCCAAATTATATTTATTGTAGGATATATTGTCAATACACTATCGGTGAATAAGTGTTGAGGCTCCATAAATCGAGTCATCCGATGAATCCATAGCAAAATTGTAACCGATCAAGTTTCTTCATTTTTTCAATCTTATTGGCCAAATTAGACGAAATTGCTTTAAATGATTTAATAAGCGTTTGATAAATGGAAAAATTTATAATTACTACGATATTTTTGCTTTTTTTTACATATATTCTCAACTTTTTTAAAATTAACGTTTTGAGTCTAAAAAACTAATAGAATAATCTCCTTACCAAATAAATCAATTAGCATATTGGATTAGTCAACAAATCAAATCCGGTAATCTATAATCTCATCCACTAATAAAAGATATACTCTAAACTTTTAGTATTAAGTGTCATCTTTTTTTATTATTATTTATAATTATTTGTCGTTTTGAACTATTATTCCAATTATATAATACAACCTACAGAAGGATGGAAATAGAATAAACAAAAATAAAAGAAAATATTAATTACTTCCCTACATCTATCTATTTTATATAAAACAAAGTATTTAAATGAAACAATACCCATTTTCTCCCACATATATAATTTTTTATCTAAATATCCAAATACCAAAATACTACAAAAAAAAAAAAAAATGGAAAATTTGAACTATGAAATGCGCCCGTAGAAAATATCCAAAGGCGAAGCTGTTTGTTTACGCCAGCAATCACAAAGTCGTCGCCGATAAATACGCTGAGCATTGTCCTTTTTAATTTTTATTTTAAAAGAAAATATATTTCAATTTTTCAGTTTGTAATATTCAAATACAAGTAAATGAGTCTATTTTGATTTTTGACCAACTCAAAATTAAAATAGATGTAAAAATGTATTATCACATGCTTTTGTTTCCTTAGATTTGGCCACCATGAGTATTCATGACCATCTTCCTGGTGAAAATAACATTTGCCTTCTGTTTGCCCGTGACAACAATTTTGAATTATGTAATAATTAATTAAGATGTTCAAATATATATAAAACAAAAAGAATTATTTAACAAATTATCTGTTTTATATTATTCAGAGCATCCGGCATGTACTGTGTTATACCAATTGTGGTGTTTGAGCTTATTTACTAAACGAATCGAATCGAACTTGTTTGTGCAATTTTTATTTATTTTTTTATTTTAAATTTTATACGAGTCAAACTTGATACCGAACAAACAATTCAAGTAGGATTTTAATATATATTAAACGAGTGAAACTAAACTTTCAAGATATTAACCAAACCTTTTATTTATTTATTTATTACATAAGCACCAGTTTAAAATTACTCGATTTGTGCGACTCGAATATTACCTTATGGACTGGCCATGATTTGTCAATAAAAGTTATGTTTTTTTAATTTTAAAATAGTTAAAGAGTACAATCACATTAAATAGACGTTTTTCTTTTTCCCTTTTTTTTTTAAAAAAAAAAATTAAAATAGTTAAAGAGTACACTCACAGAAAGTTCCGTAAACGTCAAGCTGGTGTGGTTTTTATTCAAACGAGATAAATATAAATTTGCACCACGTGAGATTCTTTTAAAATTTTTATTGGGATTTGCACTGACATTACAAAATATGTTCGATATGTACAATATTCGACTCGAAAATTATCGTGCTGAGAGTCTGAAACATGTCTCCTCATTTGTTCAGAATTTATTAATCGAGTAAATATGAAATAACAATTCCGTGTACTTGTAAGCCGAACTGAACTCAGTTTGACTCGTTTATCAATATTAACGAACCATGTTTGATCCTTTACAAGCTAAAATCATGTCGAACTATAGAAAAACACATAAAAAATCATCTTTTTCGAGCCTTATTCAGTCGAGCTCGAGCTATCACGAGCGACTCGTTTAATTTAACAACTCTAGTGGTGCTTAATGTATATGTAAACACAGAGCATACATTAAAGGGTAAATGAGACAAGTTAAACTCGAACTCTTGATAGTTGAGTTTGTGTTCGAGCCTTTAATGAGTCA